ATTACCAAAACGCTGTTCCAGCATCGGCGCATCCACACATCATGGATGCATGTCAGGTCCAAGCAAGAACACCTGCTGGACTACGTAGTGATGGAACAGTGGATGCGGGCTCATGTCCTTGACACCAGGACCTACCTTGGAGCTGATCTGCCCACTGACCATCGACTTGTCATCTGTAAGATGCGCCTGCCATTCTTCCACTCTGGTGGTGGGTGTACACCTAGGACCCCATTCAAACCTAAGGTGGCCTGGTCTTAGCTAGCTGATGAAAGTTGGGGGACGATGCAAACCCCAGCCGCAAGCGATGATTAAATTCTCGCTTGTGGCTGGGGTTGGCATCGTCCCCCACTCCTCCAGATGTCGAGGGTAAATGGGCGCGGTTTAGGACTGTGACTCATGCAGCTGCAATGGCTGATGTGGGTACACAGTCCAGATCTTCCCAGGGACCCTGGCTGACAGAGGTGTCCAGGCTGGCTGAGAAAAAGCAACAGGCCCACTCTCATCATCTACAACATCCCACGTCAGAGATTGAGGCTTACCGCAGCCTTCGCTCGGAGGTTCGGAGAGCCGTGAGGCGCTGCATGGATGGGTGGTGGTCATGGGTTGCTGAGGAGATGGAGTCTGCCTCAATGGCCTGCGATCACAAATCACTATTTAACTCCATTAAAAAAGTTACCTGCAGCACCACACCTATTACCAACATTAGGGGAAAAAACGGTGATCCAATCTCCAACCCCCAGGAACAGGTTTGCAGATTTTCTGAGCATTTCTGTAAAGTCCTGGGGGAGGGGAAATCCCACCGTATGGAAACCATTGTGGGACGAAGTGGGGATGACCCTGTTGAGGCTGCGGTGTCTCAAATATTGGAAGAAGTCACCCCCTCTGAGTGGCTGGCTGAGGTGCCATTTTTTGAGGAAGTACTAAAAGCGATCCAGGGTCTGAGACCAGGAAAAGCACCGGGCAGATATGATCTCCCAAGTGAAATGCTGACGGAGGATAGCGTTTGTGCACAGACTGCCCTACATGACATCATAACAGTCTGGACCACTGGACGTGTTTCGCAGGATTGGAAGGATGCCCTGGTGGTTCCAGGGTGGTCCCCCTTCTTAAAGAGGTGACCCCACAGACTGTAACTACAGGGGCATCTCATTCCTCAGTGCGCCGTGAAAGGTCCTTGCAAGGATTACTCAAGACAAAGCTTTCGTGACTGCAGGAATTCATATTCTTGGGTCTTTCGGTAAAGTCACGTAGATAGGTTCCAAGAAAATAACAAAAACATTACAAAAAACTATTAAGTTTCGATCATAACACCAGCGGATGTCTTGAGGAAATGGGGGTTAGCTTCCAAGGCAAACTGTTGAAAAGGGGTTTGAAATGGGCGTAGCCCAAATGTCAGCAACCAATGATGATGTAAGTGGTGGGCAGCCCAACCCGATGGTGGTTGGTTTTCCACCAATCAAAGGGCTGCCAGGTGAAAATTTACATGTTACTGAGAGATTAGCATGTTATTGGCAGATCGCAGAGCCGCAACACACGGGTCGGTTCGCAAAGTGGCTGTGCTAGTGTGAACCCTGTGAAAGCGCAAGTTTAAAATGAGCGTAAAGCACAACTAACATCGGAAGGCGGTACGATGGGAACATCATAGCCAATTATGACTTAAACTGGTTGATAACGTCCTTCCAGCGATTGCTCAGTTTGTACCCATCTTCTTGGTTGAAAATTGTGTCCGTGTCTATATATATGGATGGCTTCATGAACAAATCTTTGTTCATAGCCAGTGGGCTTGCAAGTACCTTCGTCTTAGATAAATCAATTTTGTGCGAGCCCACCGCATTAAAACAATGATCAGCTACAGCAAAGGTATTGGTCCTACCGTGTTCCAGATCTGCCTTTATGTTCAAGAACACGGTCCGAGACTTATCGCTTAATTTCCCCGATGTAACTACTGCCACAGACACAGCTTAGTTTGTAGACGCCGGGGTACTACATGTCAGGGATCACATCCTTCACAGATGGGATCAGATCACAAATTTAATGTATTGTGTTCAATCGAATCTGGATCTCGTGTTTGCTAATGATTTTTGAAATCTTTTTTTTGCGCTTTCACAGGGTTCACACTAGCACTGCCACTTCGCGTACCGACCCATGCGTTGCGGCTCTGCAATCTGCCATTAAGATGCTAATTTTCACCTGGCAGGCCTTTGATTGGTGGAAAACCAACCATCGGGTTGGGCTGCTAACCACTTACCTTATCATTGGCTGATGACATTTGGGCGACGCCCATTTCAAACCCCTTATAAACAGTTTGTGTCGGAAGCAAACCCCCCTTTTCCTGAAAACGATCGCTTGTGTTGCGATCGAAATGTCGTAGTTTTTTGTTATTTTCTTTGAACCTATCTACGTGACTCTGAAAAACCCAAGAATAGAAGGATTATTCAACATCACCTTGCCAGCCACGCTGAGAGGCTTGCGGAGCCCCAATGCGGTTTCAGGAAAGGGCGGTCCTATACAGATGCCATATTTTCTATCTGTTTGCTGCAGCATAGGTGTAGGGAATTCCAACAAAACCTACATCTCTGCTTTATTGACCTATGATACCATCAGTAGGCCTAGGCTCTGACCCTCTCTCACAATCATTAAGGACCTTCATGATGGTGAGCGGGTCCGGGTAAAACTATGCTGCTGGGAGTCAGAGCCATTCCCTGTCACCTTGGGGTGCGACAGGGATGTCCTCTGGCTCCCACATTATTTAACATATTTTTCGACCACGTAGTTCATGAAGCCTTTGATGGCTGTACCAGAGGAATTTTCATCTGGTGCAGATACAATGGGAGGCTGATCGATGCCTGGGTGCGGTCAAGGGTTGGCTCCCTATTGATCAACCACATTATGTATGCCGATGATCTGGTAATTGCCGCTCACTCAGAGGAGTTGGAGGCGCTCCTGCTGAACCTGGAGCATGCCACGAAGAGGTGGGGCCTTACCATCAGCCTCACCAAAACTAAGCACCTGCCTGGGTATTTTGTACTATCGGGCACTCAACCCACACAACTCCCAATCGGTGATGGGGCAGTTGTGGAGAGAGTGGAGAGTTTCCCCATACCTGGGCAGCGTGCTCATGACCAGTTCCGGTTTGACAACGGAGGTCTCACTCCGAATCAGTTGAGCGGCATTATCTTTTCATCGGTTGCATAACGCTGTGTGGAGGGTTTTATGAACCTTTGTTCCCCATCTGTATCGCCAGGGATCTGTGCTTATTCTCAAGTTATATTTTGATATCCTGAGGTTGAAGACATAGCTAAGCTTCAAACTTTACTATTGCATTTTTAAAACCCTAGTCAGCTCATAATTATTAACCCTTGGGTGGATTTTGCTATCCAAGGGATGTTCGTGACCCCTGTTGTTTCCATCTTATGTTTGTTTTATTGTGGGTTGATTCCTTTATAGTGGCCTTCTCTCGAAGTCAACTGGGGATTTCCCGCAGAATCTCATTAGCCCCCACCCCCCCCCCCCCCGGGTTTGGCATTTTATTTATTAAATTTTATGACTTCCCAAGCAGGCTTGTGAGTAATTATCTTTCAGCTGTCTTTTGTGTGGCAAGGCAGCGCTCCATCCCGATCAAAATTATAAAAAAGGCAGAATCACTCTTAAGTTACATTTTTGGAAAAGACAACATTCTCTTCGAGTGTTTGTGATGAGATATGATACAAAACTCGGAGTTGCTGAGGCAATTAAGCAAGCACCATATGAATGCTAATATTATTATAACAGTGAATGCTTGGGAGCTTATTGGCTCTCGCTGCGAGTTAGAAGTCTACCCAACCCACAGGTCCGCAAATACTGGCCGCTCTTACTCAATAAAGGCCTGTGACAAAGGTGAATCTATTGGAGCTTCATTGTCTCAAGCTTACACATCTACAGGGTCTCCATTTGACTTTGTATTGTCGAAGAAGTCCAGCCACACCTCCACTTCCACAAACTCCTGGGAGTTGCCTCGCTCTGCCTCACAGTCAGAATTCTCCTCCTGCTTCACGTTGCCTCCATCGATGTGAAGGTCCGATTTTGGAGTTGAATCTTCATCTTCACATTTTACCATCACATCTTCGCTCTTCACTGTCGCCTCTTCAAATTTCACCTTGATACATTTTATAGTGTCCAAGCTGGAATTCACTTCTGGTTCTTTTTTCAGGAGGGATAGGCTCATTGCAGCACTTTGATTTTCACAAGTCGATTTCAGACTACACTCCTTGGGAATCTTCTGATGCGAGTGTGTTCTCTGGTGTCTATAAAGCGGTGATGACTGTGCAAACGCCTTCCCGCACTCAGTGCACTTGAAGGGTTTATCTCCTGTGTGTATTCTCTGGTGTATTTTAAGACTTGATGACTCTGAAAATGCCTTCTCACACACAGTGCACTTGAAGGGTTTCTCTCCTGTGTGTGTTTTCTGGTGGCACTGAAGAACTGATGACCGTGTAAATGCCTTCCCGCACAGAGTGCACTTGAAGGGTTTATCTCCCGTGTGTGTTCTCTGGTGTGTTACAAGAGTAGATAAGTGTGCAAATGCCTTCTCACACACAGTGCACTTGAAGGGGGTCTCTCCTGTGTGCGTTCTCTGGTGCCTTTGAAGATCTGATGAATTTGAAAATGCTTTATTGCACAAAGTGCACCTGAAGGGTTTCTCTCCTGTGTGTGTTCTCTGGTGTATCTGAAGAACTGATGACTTTGCAAATTCCTTCTCACACACAGTGCACTTGAAGGGTTTCTCTCCTGTGTGTGTTCTCTGGTGTATCTGAAGAAATGATGACTTTGCAAATGCCTTCTCACACACAGTGCACTTGAAGGGTTTCTCTTCTGTGTGTGTTCTCTGGTGTTTTTTAAGATTTGATGAATGTGCAAATGCCTTCTCACACACAGTGCACTTGAAGGGTTTCTCTCCTGTGTGTGTTCTCTGGTGCTGTGTCAAACTTCCAGTATAATCCGTGCTGTATGCACACTGGTCGCATTGTTTCTTTTTTGTACCGAGCTGCGCTGAGTGCCTTTGCTCCATCAGACCAATTCTGCAGAGGAAGAGTCAGAAGAAGCGTCAGCTGCAGACAGAAAAAAATATCCACACAATCTACGTCAGTATCGAGGTACAGAGGAATGAATATATATACACAGTCACACATTAATTACACATCTATACTTATTCATATATTCAAGACTAGCGGGAAGTACCCGGCATTGCCCGGGGGAAAACTATATTTAAAAACTTCTCAAAACTTATAAACATAACATATACAAATGAAAATAAAACTTTGATCATTACCTCATTAATGAAAATAAAACCCAACGCACGGTGGAAAAAAAAAACTTACGCTCGCACGCCAATATTCAATTCTTTAAATCGCGCAAAGAAATCAAAGGTTTTAGATTTATTGAGAATCGGCCTATTCCCGTTTAATCGATACCACAAACGCTCACCAGATATCAATTCTCACCAGTTCTGTATGCGGGTTGACGCCAAACACTTCATGGTCATTCCCCCCCCCACCCCCCCCCAAAATACAAAAGTAAATTTTTATAATTTTTGCATTGTGTACAGTCTGGAAGCTATCCACATGCCAAATTTCAAGTTTGTTGCATGTTGGGAAGTATGCTAAACATTTACAACAGACACACATTCACAAATGTCCCTTTTATATATATAGATATCCATTATTGTGCCCCCCCCCAAAAAATATAAAAGTCAAAGTTTATACTTTGTGCATTGTGTACAGTCTGGAAACTACCGACATGCCAAATTACAAGTTTGTTACATGTTGGGAAGTAAGCTAAACATTTCGAACAGACACACATATTCACAAATTTCCCTTTTATATATATATTCCCCAATCCATGACAAAGATAAACTCTTAAATACACCTACATTTCACATGCATCATTGACATTATATAAACAAAACATCCACCATTCCTGACATGGCTCACTAACATCTTACTGTCTGTCTGTCTGTGGACGAAACTTGCGACAGATTTGACTCATGAACCGTGGGGTTTACGTTTTAAAAGTATGTGGGTAACACGCGATAAGCCCCGTGGTGAGCAGGCACTATTCGTATTTCGCATCCGTCAACTTTGAAGTAGTTAAATTCACATTTTTTATAAGAATAGGTTTTCCCCTTTTTTCTGGCAACAAAACAGGTGTTACGATGTTAAAACACCAAATTGAAACCTTTTGCAAGGAATGTCTGCATTTACCACATATACTTGATAGTCAAAATGCAAAGAGAAAATCATACTCTGATAGTATATGCAATGTCTTTGAAACTGATTGGTCCACACCAGAGACAGCTTTCTTTGGAGCCTAGTCTCAAACAAGTGTTAGTACTATTAATTATTATATTACTACGCTGAGCGCGCACCAAACCACGCATCTGCCATGCGCGAGACAGCTAACCTGTAGTTGCCCCTAGCAACGCACACACGCTATCGGTGGAGAAAATGTTTCATTCGCGTTCAAAATGAAAAAAAAAACACAGGACTGAGGTTAAATTTTCACACTGTGATGTCCCCACCCCAATGTGTGCAGTTACTACTATAGAGTCGGTTATACTACTATAGTCCATAGATAACTACTGTAGAGCGAGCGGGGGGATGGTGGGGGAGGAGGGGGCTGGGTTGCAGCCCAGCCCCAGCCTGCCAAGATGCCACCTCGGCCGGCTGGGAAATCTAAGCGAGGCCGGGGGCTCCGCACGGGACTAGGCCTCACCACGGAACTTTTAAGTACAGTAAAACCTTGGATTGCTAGCATAATTCGTTCCGGAAACGTGTTTGTAATCCAAAGCACTCGTATATCTAAGCATTCGTATATCAGTTGTGATCATGTGACGCTCGGCAGACAGAGCGTATACGTACTACTCATATTGCAATACCTTGCTCGTTTATGAAATTAATATTTAGTTAAAAATTTTGCTCGTCTTGTAAAACACTCGCAGACCAAGTTACTCGCAATCCAAGGTTTTACTGTAGTATATTTTTGTGATTTATTTATTTTAATATAATTTTATGGTATTTCTATATACGTGACTTTACCGAAAAAACCAATGAGTAATCTATGCAGTCACGAAAGCTTTAATTCTTTATTAACACACTTCTACGGGGAAGTTACCTTTACAATTCTGTCCTAAACGTATTGCACCCCTTGCTTTCTCCTACCCCTCCCACCACCTCTGCTGCCGTGCCCCCTTGTTCTACTTCTTATTTAAGGCCTATGTCTGTTCATCCCTCCGGCCCTTTTTCTTTTTCATTTCTCCTCTGTCCGTCTTTCCTTTCCTTGCCTCTTGGTGACCCTGTATATGTATTTCTGCTGACTTGTACCTCATATTTGTTAACTCTGTCTATGCTGGTATGTTTAATCCAGAGGATGAACACGAAATTTAGCACTCTTCTGAAATTTGTGGTCCGCCAGGCAAGTGTCTGTGTTGATGGCCTGACTGCTTTTGCATCACATAATTTTTTCTTAGGTTTGTTGAATTCTCGTCTCTCATCTTTTGTTGTATTTACCTCCGTGCAGTTTGGCGCTCTCTATGTGTTGCGTTGGTGTCGCCCTAAATGCTCCCTCGCTATATTTTTTTTACACCTGATGAAGATCGCTTGTGTTGCGGTCGAAAGGTCGCGATTGATTTATTTTAATATAATTTTATGGTATTTCTACATACGCGACTTTACCGAAAAAACCAATGAGTAATTTATGCAGTCACGAAAGCTTTAATTCTTTATTACCGAAAAAAACAATGAGTAATTTATGCAGTCACGAAAGCTTTAATTCTTTATTAACACACTTCTACGGGGAAGTTACCTTTACAATTCTGTCCTAAATGTATTGCACCCCTTGCTTTCTCCTACCCCTCCCCCCGCCTCTGCTGCCGTGCCCCCTTGCTCTCTTCGGCCCCTCCCCCCACCTCTACTTCTTATTTAAGGCCTCTGTCTGTTCATCCCTCCAGCCCTTTTTCTTTTTCCTTGCTTCTCTGTCCGTCTTTCCTCTCCTTGCCTCTTGGTGTCCCTGTATATGTGTTTCTGCTGACTTGTACCTCGTATTTGTTTACTCTGTCTATGCTGGTATGTTCAATCCAGAGGATGAACACGAAATTTAGCACTCTTCTGAAATTTGTGGTCTGCCAGGCAAGTGTCTAACTGTGTTGTTGGCCTGACTGGTTTTGCATCACGTTATTTTTTCTTAGGTTTGTTGAATTCTCGTCTCTCATCTTCTTGTTGTATTTACCTCTGTGCAGTTTGGCGCTCTCTATGTGTTGCGTTGGTGTCGCCCTATATGCTCCCTATTTTTTTTTTACACCTGATGAAGATCGCTTGTGTTGCGGTCGAAACGTCGTGATTGATTTATTTTAATATTTTATGGTATTTCTACATACGTGACTTTACCGAAAAAAACAATGAGTAATTTACGCAGTCACGAAAGCTTTAATTCTTTGTAGCATGGTTCTTAACCTCGGTGAGTGTACTGGCAGTGTATATTCTTGGTTCTTAATAACCATTTCTACAGTCTACATGAGAGACTGCCAGTACACTCACCTAATTTAAGAACCAGGCTAGAGTTTACATTAATGGTTATTTTTTATTCACGTTATTATTCACTTTATTTTTATTATATTTCCATCTACATGACTTTACCGAAAGAACAAAAGATTACTATTATATTTAGTATAGCTACTACTACATACAGTACACACTGCTATAGAGTTTGCATAGCTACTACTACATACAGTACACACTGCTATAGAGTTAGTATATCTACGACTACAGACGGTACACACTGCTATAGAGTGTGTATAGCTACTACTACAGCCAGTACACACTGCTATAGAGATAGAATAGCTACTACTACAGCCAGTACACACTGCTATCGAGTTTGTATAGCGACTACTTCAATCTTGATTTGAAGCTTTCGTGACTGCAGGAATGTATACTCCTTGGTTCTTTCGGTAAAGTCACGTAGCTACTACTCCAGCCAGTACGTACTGCTATAGTTAGTATAGCAACTACTACAGCCAGTACATAGACTTTAGTGATAGTAGCTACTACTGCAGCCAGTACATACTACTGTAGTGATAGCTACTACTACAGCCAGTACATACTACTGTAGTGATAGCTACTACTACAGCCAGTACATGCTAACAAAGTGATAGTAGATACTACAGCCAGTAAATACGAATTTAGTGATAGTAGCTACTGCTGCAGCCAGTAGATACTACTGTAGTGATAGTAGCTACTACTGCAGCCAGTAGATACTACTGTAGTGATAGTAGCTACTACTACAGCCAGTACATACTAATTTAGTGATAGTAGCTACTACTACAGCCAGTACATACTACTGTAGTAATAGTAGCTACTACTACAGCCAGTACATACTACTGTAGTAATAGTAGATACTGCTATCGAGTCAGTATAAACTACGATAGAGTTAGTAGATATTACTATAGTCAGTATATACTACTGAAGAGTTAGTAGCTTTTGAAAAAGAGTCGATATATACGATTAAAGAGTCAGTAGATACTACTGTAGTCAGTATAAACTACTGTAGAGTCACTAAATACCACTATAGAGTCAGTAGGTACGACTATAGAGTTGGAAGATACTACTGTAAAGTCGGGAGATACTACTGCAGTCGGTAGAGGCTACTGAAGAGTAAGTAGATACTGCTATAGAGTAAGCAGATACTACTATAGCGTTAATAGTTACTATTAGTCAGTGGATACTACTATAGATCATAGATACTCCTGTATAGTAAGTATATACTACTGTCACCAGATACTACTACAGTCAGTAAATACTACTAGTCAGTAGATACTTCTATAGTCAGTAGATACTACTGTAGAGTTAGTAGTTACTACTATAGTCAGTGTATACTACTATAGTCGGTCGATATTACTACAGAGTCGGAAGATAGTACCGTAGAGTCAGTATATACTACTATAGAGTCAGTGGATAATAGTACGGTCAGTAGACACCACTTTCGTCTACAGATGCCACCATAGAGTCAGTCTTTACTGCTATAGGGT